CTATAAATATTTGTTACCATTTCTAAAGCTCCCGAACAGAATGAAGCTTGTAAGACAAAATATGTAAAAAAAAATGCCAGCTTTACAAGGTCTGCTAAAAACTGAAATTATTACACATTTTATAAATGTGTCCTTGGATTTACGAAAAGACTGTAATGGCGTATTACTTTAAACATAGAGATTAAATGTAAAAATACAGAGATATTATGATCTATACAAAGGCTATAATAGTACTACAGCATTAATTGTAACCTATCTCCTTTGCAGATAAATACATGTAAAGGGTTTTTCAAGTGCTTTTAAAAAAGATAATGAGACCTTAGTCTTTCTGAGCTTGGCAGGAAGTATTTCTAAGAAAAGGGAGATGTCTTTAAAAATAAAAGCTCTGCTTTAAAACAAGATGACAGCTCAGTACATTTGAATTCAAACAATTAATTTACTTTGCAGTCTGATTCTCTGCATTGTACTTCCTCCTAAGTAATTTCAATGCTTGACTGATTGTAACAACTCACTTTAAGATGATGTTATGTGGTTTTAATTTAAGGAACTTTCACATCATTATGACTTGGAGTATTTTCTGTATACTATCTTATGAGCATAGGATGCCCTATAAGACCTTTTTTTGAACTCAGAAATAAACAAATAAGCAGATTTATTCTACTTATTCTAAATCACAGGATGGTTGGAGGTCTCAGTTGCAAAATTAGGAGCGAGCATCAAGATCAATCAGTAGTTTAGAAAAGAGATAATGGGGAAGGGGTATGAGAAAGGCATATGAAATGCAATCCAATCAGTAAGTGAATAGAAAGGGGTTTTTTTTCCTACTCTCATTGAACTTGATATGGGTCATTCAATTGAGCTGAATGATAGGAAATTCGGAGCAGATTAAAGCAATGCTTCCTCATGGATTTTGCTATTTCTAGATCAGTGTTTCTTCAGTTTGATCCTAGAACCCTTAGCAGTCCCCCAAGATATCCTCAGGGATCTGTGAAATCAGAATTATTGACAGCCCACATTGAAAAATATAATATTAAAATCCCATCAAACAATGGTGAGAAGTTGCAGGAGAGTGAATGTGTCAAATTTAATTTCTTAATATAATAAATGTCAATAAATATAATCAAAAGTTCTTTGGGGGAGTTCTCCACAATTTTTAAAAGTGGGAAAAGGTTCAGAGACAAGTTTAAGAAACACTCTTCTAAATGTAACATCATCCATCCGTCCGTCCGTCTGTCCACCCACTTCTGAAAGGATTAAGAGGGAGATTCATAAAAGTTAAGACCAACTGTTACTAGCCTTAATAGTTTTACGTGATGGCCCCAGCATAGCAGTTGATGCAATAAGAAAAGAGAAGAGCATTATGGGACTCAGGTGGTTTCACTTACAAACTCCCCAAGGGCATCTCATTATCAGTTCTGCTGCCTTGACCTGAGCCAGCATGGCTGTTTCTTCTAATCCGAGGCCATCTGGAGTTAGCTCAGCACCGTAGTGCTTGTTATTTGCCTGAGAGACACTCCGTTAATGTGGCTAAATCTACTACCGTTTACTGTTATTTATTATGACATTCATACTGTATTTCTGGAGATCTGATTCACAGGGCCAATCCCAAAAGGATTTATTCTGACGGTCCTGAAACAATTTCTTGGGGAGGGTTTTTGTCTTTATATTGTCATATGGAGAATCCTGTAATGTCAAACCAGATTGTTTCTGAGGCCAGGGGTTTCAAAATAGCCCTTTATCATATACCCAGTCCTATTTTTAAGCCCTTGGTTGCTTTGTTGTGGTTGAGCACACAGACTGGAGAAATGCTAAATCTTTTGTCCTTCTGCAGTCTCTTTTTCCTCCCCCTCCTCTCTTTTTTTCTCTCTCTCTCTTTCTTTCTCTCTCTCTCTTTCTCTCTCTTTTTTCTCACTCTCTGCCCTGATATTATATAGGATGTTTCCAAAAGGGAAAAAAAAGTTTCCCTTTGTACACACTACACACATACATCCCAAATTCCAGATGACTGCCAAGACTTTGAGTAAATTGGTAATATTTCCCTATTTATGTATTGATCATGTGGAAGCAGACAGGCACCCAGACAGACAGACGGCATCAATCTCTGAAGTAGCATCAGTTTTCCTAACAGCAAGCACTACTGGACTGAGCCTGTTAAGGGGCCTTTCTGTAGCAGTTCAGATCTTTCTCCCTCTTGCTAGCCATATTGCAGTTGACAAACGGTTTTCTCATCTACAGCAGCAGAACATTGGCCGATGCCCCACCCTTGTTGGTAGGCGTGCTTGGCTGGGGCCACTGGAAGAAAAATCACTAAGCATTAGCAAGCAATCAAATATATGAAAGATGACCACTTAGCAGCTCTTCCAATGCCTTCCATTAAGCTGTAAAGAAATAGTGAAGAAAAAAAGAGTACCATTTCTTGATTCCATGCCAAAACCTACATCAATCTCTGCAAATGTTTTTTCTCTCTCTTAACAGCCTCTCCCCAGCATTTATTTGTATTCAGTTTATCCTGTAAATTGAATTCAAGGGAAGTTTTTGATATAGATAGATAGATAGATAGATAGATAGATAGATAGATAGATAGATAGATAGATAGATAGATAGATAGATAGATAGATAGACAGACAGACAGAGA